ACTTTGTACAAAAGCCTTTGTTGTCAATGACAGCTTCAAGACGCCTCCTGTATGGAGAAACTAGTGGCATGCATTGCTCAGGTGTGATTTTGGCCCATTCTTCCACACAAACAGTCTTCAAATCTTGAAGGTTTCGTGGACCTCTTCTATGAACTCTGATCTTTAGTTCTTTCCATAGATTTTCTGTTGGATTCAGGTCAGGTGATTGGCTGGGCCATTCCAGCAGCTTTAGTTTCTTTCTCTGAAACCAACTGAGAGTTTCCTTGGCTTTGTGTTTGGGCTCATTGTCTTGCTGAAATGTCCAGCCACGTTTCATCTTCATCATCCTGGTAGATGGAAGCAGATTTTTATCAAGAATGTCTCTGTACATTTTTCCACTCATCCTTCCTTCAATTATTTGAAGTTTGCCAGTACCATATGCTGAAAAACAGCCCCACACCATGATGTTCCCACCTCCAAACTTCACTGTTGGTATGGTGTTTTTGGGCTGATGTGCAGTGCCATTTGACCTCCAAACATGATGTGTATTCTGGCATCCAAACAGTTCAATGTTGGTCTCATCTGACCAGACTATATTCTCCCAGTATTACACAGGCTTGTTTAAATGTTGTGCAGCAAACTTTAAAGGAGCTTCAACATGCTGTTTCTTCAGCAGTGGAGTCTTGCGTGGTGAGCGTGCATACAGGCCATGGTGGTTCAGTGCATCACTTATTGTTTTCTTMGAAACAATCGTAACTGCTAATTCCAGGTCTTTCTGAAGCTCTCCACAAGTGGTCCTTGGCTCTTGGACAACTCTTCTGATAATTCTTTTCCCTCCTCTGTCAGAAATCTTGTGAGGAGCACCTGGTTGTGGTCGGTTTATGGTGAAATGATGTTCTTTCCACTTCTGAATTATGGTCCCAACAGTGCTCACTGGAACCTTCAGAAGTTTAGACATTCTTCTGTAACCGATGCCATCATTATGCTTTGCAACAATAAGGTTGCGAAGGTCTTGAGAGAGCTCTTTACTTTTACCCATCATCAGATGGTTCTTGTGTGATACCTGGCCATCATTTGGGWCTGAACCAGCTGATATCAACTTGCACTGACAAGGGGCAGACTTGCTTTCTAATTACTGAGAGAGTTCCGCTGGTGTCTTGGCTTTCCATGCCTTTTTACACCTCCCTTTCTTCATGTGTTCAATACTTTTTCCCTGTGCCATTCCACATTATTACAAATAACTTDATTTCTGGACATTTATGGTTTGATTTCTTTGTATGTGTGGATCACTTGGGTTGTTACCGACATCTGGTGAAAATTTCATGTCATTAGCACCTCTAGTAATATATTTACTGAGAAAAATGGTGACATGTTCAATACTTATTTTACCCGCTGTATGTCTTCCTCTGGCTTCAGATAATAAGCACACTGCTTTATTAGGTTTATGAAATTTACAATAAGTTATGGACGGACTGGGAGCAGAGATTGTGAAAACAACGCACAACAGCTACTGAAGCTGCAACATCACTCCCACCTCCTCAGTTTATTCTTTATGTGTCGTTCATGGRTTCATGTAAAATAATTGCGGTTACCTGCTCCACCGCTTAGACTGTGGAAGTTTACGGAATTTACAAAGAGTAAAAAAATAACCTCTCGGTGAACCTGAAGATCGGCACGGTGCCCTAAGGTTGACCTGAATGTGAACAGGGCATCGTAATAACATCCCTAACCTGATTGTAGATATTGCATGTTTTAATTGAAATTTTAATTCGTAACTCTAACTTAGTAGATTTAGTGTTCGAAACCCGACCGCTAAAAGAGTGAAATTTAAGCAGCAAAGAAGAAGCACTGACAGGCAACTTGTTACCACAAGCCAGCTGTGTGGCATTAAAAATAGTAATCATCCTTGTTCTTTATAAATATTTAGTGGGCATACAATTTGTCTTCTTTGGCCATTACATACACACTTTTGTTGATAAATGTAATATATCATCACTATGTTGCAGTAGCATGGCTGCCTCTGGTGTAGCAGAACTCCCAAAAACCAAAAGTCTCTTAAAGAGCCATAATTATGTTAAATAAAAGCTTACCTTCCTGTCCTTAAGTGCACACATAAGTCTCTTTTGCATGTGCTTTGTAAGCTCAGGTTTTTAGTAATCTATTCCTTTTTCAGACATTGCCTTTTGACCTTAAATTCCTATTTGTGCATTATTGTTTCAAATCCAGTACAGTTACCTTTTCAAAAACAAATTACATGTCTGTGCAAAGTTTTTTGGATATAAAAGCTTAAAAGTCCCAGGTTGCATCGTAGTAAAATAAAAGTTCACATAATGGTTTTTAATAAGTAACTTTTGTGTTATGCAGCTGTTTGTTACCAGTAACTTTGTTGTAAATCTAAGAAAATTCGGATCATTTTAACTTGGTTGTTTAAAAAATAAGAGAATTTAAATTATGACCTCAATGGGGACGTTTTTGCTGAAATACTGGGAGTTTTGGTTACGTTGTCTTTTTGTAAACAAAATTTATACACAAGTAGTAAATTGTTTCTGAGACAAAACCACACTTGTGCAACCTCTTTTAATGTCATTTGTTAAACAGTTTTGCTCTGCCTGATAAGAAGAAAGCGTGTCCTGGCTGTCAACAAGAGAGTAAGAGTTTGAAATAACATTCAGATGAAGTCATTACTTCTGATAATATACTGCGACCAAGTACATATTGCGAAACAGACCCAAGCTGTTTTTGGATGGTAAATGAAGGGAAATTTTTCCCTAATTAGATAACATTTCTTTTTTATTAGATGTGGAGATTGCTAAATAAGGATGTTGCGGTTATAATATATCAAGTCATAAATACATATGTTGACATGAACTGTTACTTTTAATTTTAGTCAAAGGTTTTGCGAGCCCCAGCCATATGGTGCCCTTTGGGAACCTATTAGGAGTTGACTCAGTGGTAAAACAGTCAAGGTTCAGCCCTCTAAATCTGTGTAGTTATATAAAATAAATTTCACCTGCTGAAGATCAGGATCCATCTGTTCTTCTCAGAATTGTATGTTTATATAGTTTTGTGTGTTGCACTACTAACYTTGGTAAGATTTTGCAGCGAGACAAATAAAGTTGATTATTTCTGTTTTGGTTTGGCATTTTAGTTCAAGTTTTTAAAGAGTGTTTTCCTCTCTGTAATCACATTTTATTTTGAAATTGAAACGAGTGGGACACAATAAATTGATTTTGGCAACTGATTTTAACCATTATTTGATTGTATGGCTGTAGATAATGTATAACAATATTTTGCATTTATTAGTCACTTAGTTATTTCTGATATTTGATGATATTTCTTGTGGATTTTTATGTAATGCTCAGAATCGAACATTTTGCAGACATCATTATTAATTATCAATGTCATTACTAATGCTTTTTTCAAAATCCTTGGCCCACATTCTCCATATTGTTCCTCCACTCTCAGGGATCTTGAAGCTTGTTTTTAGAGAGTTCTTTTGTGTTTGAAAAGAAGGTGTCCATAGTTGTCAAGACCATTTTTTTATCAGTTTTGTCAAATTGCCAAAGCAAAATCTTACATTCTTTAAAAACAAACTCAAAACGTTTGTCCATGCCTTTATCATATCTAGATTGAGTGACTGCTGGGTTTTGTATCAACCTCACAATTCAATTTCAATTCAGTTTTGCTTTAATAGCAATTTCATAAGAAGATGATGTACACAAATATTTAATTAGTAGGGGTGCAACAATACCATGTTGAACCGTTCAATACAATGCTTTAGGTTCAATACACACTTGTATCGAACAGGATTTTTAAAATTTATTTTCTCAYCTTGTCTTCTGAAGATGCTCTGTGTTGAAGGATCAGTGGATCTGTGTTCAACTACTCCACCTAGGCTGCATTGTCGAGCACAGATCCACCGAGAAACTTGCTGTTTCAACAACATTTAATTAAAAAAAACTGTACTTTTGAGGTTAAACAAATGGTCATAATTAATTTGAATAAATTACAAGTTAAAAAGAGCATGGAAATTTCTCTTTTTTTTTTGTATCAAAAAGAATATCGAACCATGACACTAAAGAATTGAACTGAACCAAATCGTTAATTTTCTGTATAGTTGCACCTCTATTAATTAGAATCCCTGTGGATAATTTTTTGTGGAGATTTTTTTTCTTGCCCATAAAAACAGAAATGGTAAACATGAACATTTTTGAGAAATGAAATATCTAAAAATAAAACTGTTGCCCAAAAATGCTTGTTGTAATTTGGAGTGCAAACATAGAGACATAGCAAACTGACCAGGGGATTTAAATGAATCAAGAGGATTTTCTGGATTGAGACTGAATTTGAAAAAAATGTAATGAAATCCAGTGATGAATGATATTTGTACACACAAGTTTTAAAGAGTTTGGGTCCCAATTATTTTACTGAACTTCTTTAGGACTCCAGAACATCCCTGAAATCTTCCAACCAGTTGCTCCATTGAGGCCTAATTAAAGTGCCATCAGATATTCAACGTTGTGGTATTTTCTTGTTTTAGTTTGTTTTATAGCCTATTTTTTTGTACTTGTTGGTTTTTATGTATGATGTGTTTTCTTTATTTTATTGATTATTGTTCCAGTTTATTTTTAACCAGCTTGTAAAGCATTTTGGTCAATCTTATTATTTTTAAACATGCTATAAAAATAAAACTGACACTTGAAATTTTACTTTGGGCTAAAAAGCCTTAAAGCCTGCAATTTTAGTAACTATTAAAGCTGCTTAAGCAAACCTATTGAGATGTGGAGACAAAAAAATTGTGTGAAAATGTATATATTTGACTTGAGAAATTAACTACGTGGGAAACAATTATTTAATGCAAGGTGGTTTTGAAACTTTGACAGATAAAGTAAAAATAAACACAATTTGCCTGGCCTTTATAATTTGTCATTTATTAGCTGAATGTTTCCAGATGTCAGTATTATTAATCTGGTTGGTCATTTACCCCACCACTGACTTACTGGTGTTTGTTTTTATTTCAGGTTCAGGAGAGGGATGTGGAAAGATCATTCAGCGGTTCCCCAAGAAAGACTGGGAGGGGACAGCCTTTCCACAGGGGGTGGAAATGGTGAGTAAATTGCATTTTTTGTTACTACACACACAAAAAATTGTTGCCTCTCCTCCTCTGCTTGGCGACTACAAGGGGTCTTTGACAGGAGGTCTGTTATCCTTACATGGACAATCCAATAGATAAAGAAATATTTTCTTATCTGGGTGGGAAAAACTGTCAGTCCCAAGGGCAACATTAGCAGCTAACAGGATCGTACTGCCCAGGACATTAGTGCCTGGGTTATATCTGGTTTTGTTCATTTATACTAACAGATAAACTTTTAGTCACTAAGCAGGCTGGTTTAGCATTTGATAAGGAAGAAATTAACAAACTGACTTTGTTACAACACAGCGTTGGGCATTTTTTAAAAAATGCTTTCAGTATCACCCAGATATTGCTTAAATTATGTATTATTTTTTAATCTTGTGTAGATTTGATCAATACGGCAGTAACTGGAATCAGAGGTTTTTATTGAGGCAATTGATTCAGGAACTTTTACAGTGAATATTTGTGATAAAACTTCTGTTTGCTCCTTTAATTCAAATTATACTTGGACATTTCTTATTTCTTCATACCCTTATCTTCTGATTAAACTCTGATAAATAACTCTCCAGAATTGCTTGTCATGTTGTTTTAACAAGTGAAGGAAGTTAAACTGCTGGGAGTTATTATTGATCAGACACTATCATGGTGCGCACATGTACAGTACATAGCATAGCTATTAGCATAGCTAAAATGAGTTGAAATATTTCAGTTTTTCATTGTAATGCTCATTTTATGTCTCCTGGAATAAGAAAACTTGTGTTACAGTCTATAGTTTGGTGTGACCTTGACTACAAAAATAAAAATTCAAAATAAAGCTGCAAGATTAGCACTTTGTTGTAATTGTAGAACTAATGTTAATTTTATTAATCAAGGCCCGTCATGGATTAACGTCAACGACAGACTTGCATATAGTCTTCTTCTTTTTATTTTACATAAAATTTGGATTTTGCATAAACCTTTTGGCCCCTTTTTTCACAATTATTTTCCACCTTCTAACAGACAAGCTACCTCTACCCAGAACTAATGCATGAAAAATACAGTTCTGTATATAGCCATTTCTTACTGAAATATTTTGCATAAATAAATAACATTTATTGATAATCATGTACAATAATGAAATAATATTCACTTCATTTATTTATGTCATTTAATTGAGCGTTTCTCTCGTGTGCGTATTGTGTTATTTTTAAGTGTTTGCACTGGTTGTTTTGCTTTATGGTTATGTTGATTGATTTGTTTTAATGTGTTTTTTTAATGTTTTGTTCGACCTCAAAAAGAATTGTCTCCACTGAGGCAGAGAATAATTGGGATCCTATAAATAAACAAATTATTAGGGATGCACCAATATAAAACTTTCAGCCGATATTGATATCCAATAATATTTGTGTTAAGGCCGATAACRGATATTTACCAATATTACACAAACACAAATTATTTATATACATGATATGCACAAATAAACTTGTCTTTTTCCAGTAATGTAAAAAAAATGACCAGACTGCTGACATGGCTGCACAGCATCACCAACACTATTATGATCAAACAGATACCATTTTCCCTCCCAAAACAGAAACGCAAAGCTTAAAAGTGGGAAATCAATAATAGATGTTAGGATCGGCCCAGTTTTACTTATTGGACTGATAATTTAAAATATGACCAATAACGGGCGATACTGGTGTTAATGCCAATATATCGTATATCTCTACAAATTATTATTGCATGTAAGTTTAGGGTGTATCTTTAGCAGTGGGATGCAGCAGACTTGCAAACTTTTTAATGTTGATTTAATGTATGTTTGTTGGTATTTTTTATAATTGAAAAAACAGTAAAATGACTTTATGGGCTTTTAATGACCTTGTGGCATTCTAGACTTGCATACTGTATGTGTTGTGGGAATTCAGCATGTGTAGTTTATTTACTTTTTTGTTATTTAATAGGAAATCACCGTCATGCAGTTGCTGTTCAAAATGACATTTAAGCTGCGGCTGAAGATTTTACCCTTGTGTGGTCAAAACATTGTTATTTGTTGCCTAAGCAGGGGTATTTATAAGTCATTTTAGAACAAATAAGGCAGTTATTTTGGCTTAAATGAAAATTTTGTGAATTAGTGGTTTGAATGGTATGCAGGCATCTTCCTCTGTAACCCACTTGAGTCTGGCGGTGGTCATAAAAATGTCTTGTTGTGTGTGTGAGGGCTTGGAGACAACAGTGGTGTGTCATACAACAGACGGCTCWTCTTAAAGTTGACGAACAGTAATTGTGACAAGTAAAGCGATAAAAATGTGATAATTAAGGAGTGATCTGTGCGGGATATTTTTAAAATGAGGTCGAAACTATTTAATTGACAGAGGAATGAATCAGCGTGGCGCCATTCACTCAGCATCATCTCTTAAATATCTTGTGTTTTGTTTTTTTCTCTAAATATAGAACAAGTGCAACAAGTTTAGCCAAATCAGTTAGCTTAGTGTTTCCAGATGTAATTGTGAAGGATTGCACACAATATTAAACATCTCTTTTGTCCCCTTCTTGTTAAAGTTGTCCCATTTGTGCCTCTTCTTAGACATTGTGCAAAGACAATCAGAGAGGTGGTTTTTGAGAATTACTTGTCGAAATTGATTTGCTTTTGATATATTTATTTGTGCAATAATATTKTAACCTATTGAACATGCATTTCATATGACAAAACTTTAATTGTCTTTATGAACCCAGAGGAATAAGCAAAATCAYGAAAGATGACCTTGCTCTTGACATTTGCTTTGCTCCTTTACTGGTTTGTGACAAAATTTGGTCTAACGCCAAATGACTGAAATTCCAACTTTGAAGCTTTAATGATGATACACCATAGTGTTTAACAGACCCTCTTAGCAATTTGCATTTTGGCTCTGTTTGAGGCTGGTATGTAAGCCATTATTATTTGCAGATTTTCTCCTCTCCATGAAAAAGAAAATGACTCTTTTTTTATTTTTTACAAACACATCTGTAGAAAACAGTTGATGAAGCTGAGCACGAAAAGCATTTTGCGGTCACAACAGGCCCCCAGCAAACTAAATAACCACAGATGAGGAATGCACCAAGAAAAAGCGTTTACAACATGAGCTCGGAAAAATGTGGTTCTAATCTTTTCGGGCAAGTGATGATAGGATCCAGCTCAAATCCTCATCTGTTCTTGATGAGCCAGGTCTGTAGATGGAGGTCAGTACTTTGTACACCTAGTAAATTTCCGTCGGGCTGCCTGCTCGCATCAAGGCAGGCGCTTGTCGTGTACAGTAAATGGTTCTGAAAGCGGTACCATGATGTTGTCACGTAGGATGTTGGTAATGTGCAAAATCCATCAAATTAAAATGATGCTGCTAAATGAGATGTAGATTTTTATAATGATGGGTATAGTTGGAAAAAGGTATTGAGCCCACAATCACACTCTCCTCTCATCTTTATTCTTAGAATCCCTTCTGTGTGTTTAATTCACATAATGTGGCAAATTGTGGTTTATCAACAGAATCAGACTGAATATTACTAAAACAGTTAAATATAATAGCTACGCAAAAATACAAATGATCATGTTTGATCTTTATTTAACCCTTTATGATGCTTAGAAATTAATACATACAATGACTAATGGTCACATTTTGAGTTGTTGCTTATTCTGGCTTCCCGGTATGACAAAAAACATGAGCTGAATTTTATAAGAGCAAAATCATTTGCAACAAACCCACATTGTCCTCACTTCTCTCGTTTGTGTGTTGGTGTCATGCACCTCTCTGTGTGCCTTTTTTATTTAACTGTGCTCTTCTAAAATGTGTGTGGACATTAAGACCAGCAGGACATCACCCAGATGGAAAATTTCTGTATTGTTTGCAGGCCTAGTACTGTTTCTGAATTTGTTTGCCATTTGCTGATTTTATTATTTTATTAAATTATTTTAAATCTAACAAGAATTGTCACTTTCTGATCCTCGGTTGCAGCTGCTTTTTTATTTTTTTATTTTTTTGCCACATGTCGTGAACTCAGCAGAATTCCTGGAAATACTTTAGTTTCATGCTATTTATTTACTCTGTTTACTTGTTTAATTAGAAGCAGGTTTTATTTAATATGTGACATATGTGACTGTTCATAACATCCTCTGCTTGCAGACAACTTTTTTTGTCTTTCTGCTGTTTTCATGTTTTATTTCAGACTGTTAGGGCTGTATTCATTTTAGGTTTCATCTACTGTAAGGCAGTCATTAGTTTGTTACAGTTATTGGAGAAAGGTCAGCTAACATCTATTCGAAGTATGTCTGAGTCCTAGAACATTCAAAGAACATCTAGTCTTAAGTTTATATTTTAAATAATAAATTAACCAACCCAAATCACTTCTCACAAAAACAAACTGAAAGAATTTCTGCTTGCATTTAAACTAATAAGTTGGTAAATTCATTTTTAAAAATTTTCCCACCATAATATGAACACATAATTCTTTATTTTTTGCAAAAAACAAAATACAAACAACTATTTCTTTTTATTTAAGTGTTTTTAATTGTATCACAAAAACAAAAAGCAGTCCTGTCTTGTTGATACAACAATAAAACCAGACAAAAATCATTG